ACAAACACGGGAAGATCCAATGGCGAAGAAAGGATCGCAGCTCCCCCGTCAGCCACAAGAGAAACAACCCAAGCAGGGAGAAGCACCCGAGCCCAAAGCCCAAGATACAAGTAGTAATCCCTTGTGGAAAACCACTCCCCGCTCTTCCATTTTTCGACTCATCCCCCATCGAGCTTGAAGGCAACCACGAAGTATCGCCACCATCAGCAAGCCACAATCGCATGCGGGATTCTATCGTATCTCCACTTGCGCAGTCGCAAACGCAGTGCATACCAAGATCAGAGCGCCACATTCCAGAGCATCCCAAGAGCAGCTTCGAATCGAGTAGCTCGAATAATGAATCACAAGAGAGCGATGCCTCATCGCTGCATAGCAATCGCTCTTCAGAGACCAGCATAGAGAGCGATATCTCTCCCAAGCAAGAAAAGTCATTACAACATTCGGTGTATCTTCCAAGTGGTCAGACTATAGTGCCTGGAGGATCGTTGTATTCTTCCTCTAGGATCACAACGAATTCAACAGGGGACAATTGTCATGCTCCACCGACGGTGCCCCCTCGAGCATACATCCACCGATGTTCCAGCGAGGAGGACCTCCTCTTCCAACCGACTTGTGCCCTACATGTTACACAGCGCAAGCCAAGATTGAGCCGAAAGTCCTCCAAACGGAGCGGTCCGCGGGAGAATTCTGCCGCGGACGCGGGCATGACCATGGTCAACGAAGCGATCTCCTTCGCATCTGGAACATTTCCAATACCTCCACGTGCATCTAGCCCTACGCTCAGTGAGGCTGAGTGTGACCTGCACGCTCAATTGGCTTCTTCGTTTGGTAGCAATAGCGATCCTCGGACATGTCTCCAAGATCGGATGCCCCTTGCAGAAGGCAACCCTTTCCGGGAGGGCGTACATGAACTTCCAGCTGAGGGCGGAAAATTGATTGATACTGAGAGCCAGCCCCCGATAGATCCGGTCGATGTCGTACTACCTGACACTCCACCTCCAGTCGTCCCTCGCAAATCCAGCAGGCGACAATCAGCTGCCAAGAAGACAATCGGAGTTGACTGCCTGCCACACAATCACATCGCTTCGCAGATGATGCAACAGTGCTCCCGATCGAGCACAGCATTGACCCTTATGATTCCGCAGTTTAAAAGATCAAGTGTGGATCTAGTATTCTCCTCGCCTCCTGTTGCAACGTACGACGCCCAGCCGACTATTACGCCTGCTGGAGCTGAGAAGGTTATACTCAGTATTTTTCAACACCTGGACCACTTCAACGATCTCTTTGCCGCAGCTCTTGTTAACCAAGGCTTCTATCGCGTGTTCAAACGCCATGAACTCGAGCTCATCAAGTTTACCCTGCGGAAGATGTCGCCGCCAGCCTGGGAGTTCAGGGAGATTGCCTTTCCCGGACACGACCATTTACATGCAGAAGACCTGGAGACGACACGACCTGCAGAGGAATACAACCCCGCGTCATATGTCAAGCTTCAGAAGCGAGATATCCAAGTCATACGTGCCATCAAGTCAGAGATCTTGGAGAAGTGTCAGTCCTTCGTTCGACCGGAAATATCGGCTGCGCTCGTGAGTGTATGTCCAGCCGAGTCGGCCAGGGTGGATGACGCTTTGTGGCGCATCTGGACGTTCTGCAAGATATTTGGCTCAGGAAAAGGACGTGAGGAGGATATCGTTGCCCAGATGGACTGGCTCAATGGCGGTATGCTAGTGCACCAGGCCACCTGCACCTTCAGCATTATGAGCACAGATCTCATGAGCGACACATTGGTCGGCGCACCGGAGTGCTTTGGGCAAGGGAATGTAGGTGGTTTGTCCGCCGAACAACTTTTTGACATGATGGAATTATGGACCTGCCTCTCGGTTCTGCTTCAGAATTTCGAGGGGCGCACTGTTCAGGCTCGACAAGCTGGCATCTACGACAACACTGATATTCGAGGTGGAGATATTGATGGCGAAGAGATGATGCTTAGTTCGTCTACCCCTCCAACGTACCACGGAACTTGCTAATCAAACCAGACGAGTGGATCTACTATCTTCTTACCTTCGGCCTCGACACTGTCGTTATGCTCACTGGTCCATATCACCCCTTGGATCCAAGAGCCTTCACTATTGCAGCTGAGAAAGGATGGGTGAACTGGAAGCCCCCTGTGCTTGATGGTACCCGACAACACTTCCTCAAAGAAGCAGCCCGACGCGTGTACGAAGACAAGATCGCGCACAAGTACGCCAAAATATCTATCCGTGACGTACAGCGCCAGCAGTCCAAGATTCGTATTCAGAAACACATACACGAGCTGCAGCATCGTAAGAAGAGTGGTGAGCCTCGGCCAATGATTCGTATGTCCCAGGAAAGGCCCATGTCAGATTGGGATACTGTCATTCGAAATTTGACACGACCGCCGCCTCCACCCCAAGGTCCAGGGAATGAGATCATCACGCATGTTCCAGCCCTGAGATCAGCTTCTGTAGAGGAAGTGGCAACATCTGTACCTCTTCCCGGTTCCAGATCAACGTCCAGCAGAACGTCCTCACCGCCTCGTCGAATTGTTGCTCAACCGCTGCTTCCAACACCTCCACCCTCAACAGTGCCTAGTAACCATGATCGACGTAGTGTAACTTCAGATCTACCATCCATTGAAGAGCAACCACCGTTGCCGCCACGTCGGACAGTAGCCCAGCCTCTTCTCCCATCCCCTTCAGCATCAACGGTACAGAGTAACCGTGATTTGTACACCATGGGCAGTGTATCAAGCGTGGGCTCTCCACCCCGTCGTATGTTTGCTCAACCGCTTCTACCAACACCGTCACCCACAACGGTGCCAAGTAATCGTGACTGGTATCGCTACAGCACGGGCACCTCAATGCCTTCTATTCTTGAAGACCCACTCCACCATCCTCTTTCAGAACCGTCCGGCCCGCCTCACCCCGCGTTCCGACCTCATCCCATGTCATTGCCTTACAGCGAGCGCCACATGCGTCAAGGCAGTCAGTCCTCTGGAAGCTTCAGCTCCAGAAGCGTAGCCGTCCAACAACACGAACAACAGCACCACATCTTTGGATCCCGAAGTCATGAGAATACGGCCGACAAAGCGATATATCGCATCGTGGAAATGGGGTTCACAGCCGACCAGGCGAGAGAAGCGCTAAGATTAACAGATCTTGGCGACGGATTGAGGGTCGATCGGGCGGTCGAGTTCTTGCTCAGTCGGCAGGCCTGAGCTTGGCATGTGTTTGGAGATCGCAAATCCTTTGCCAAAAACTGGCACTTTCCTTTCGTAGGCGACGTAGCATGTTTTCGGTCCTTCATTACCTTAGCGCAAGATACCCATCCCTTCGTTCAATTTTCCTATACCATGTAGTTTATAGTCTTTCTATGTATCTTTTTCTTTCACATACACTTTCCGAACTACATGCAATTGTTAAACTGGGTGCCTGGTTATCCACCGGAAAAAACGGTTGGAGCCGTAGGATCGGCTGTAAATTACCTCAAGGGGACGTGCGGACATTGCGGGATGCCTAAACCACGATGTTCAGCCACTCCTGAATCGTATAGCCAATTGTAAAATGGAGAATACAGCCCACTGTCCCCAACGCTAATGAAGGGATTATCCACACGTGCAAGGTTGAGTCGTCTCAAACACGACTACATGTAGGTGGGATTTTAGGCGTTTTTCAACCGTCGGAGTCGCTCGTCTTTGTCGCGTCCCTCCATCTTGCTTCCATCCGTCTTGAAAACACCAAACGGAACCACTATAACGCCCATCACGACACCCACGATGCTTTCGCAACCGTCTATATCGTTACCACTTTTTCTCCTCCTATCCTCGCTCCCGTCCAGCTTAGCAACCTGCTACCTCCCAAACGGCACCGAGCACCTCGACTCTGGAACATCGCGCTGTGCCTCATCGATTGACGACCCGCTCTACTATACATGCTGCCAGTCCGGATGGGCCAATCCACCAGGAGGCGACGTTAAAAATGGCCCTACGGCAGATGAATGCCTGCCGAACGGGCTTTGTCAAAACAGAGGCTTTAGCAGTGTACAAGGACAAGAAGTGCCAGAATGGACACATTTCTACAGGGTGAATTGTGCGAACGAGAACTGGGAAGGATGCATAAATGTTTGCAAAGATGGCGATCTTGCGAATGACAGCGCGCAGATGACGCCTTGTGACGGGACGCCTACATCGGAATTTTGGTGTTGTGGAGATAGCAACGAGTGTTGTAGTTCTTCGACTATATCTACTACTGGCTCGTCGAAGACGAAGAAAATCAGGATTCCAAAGCGACTTGGGGAAGATACAGAGGCGAGCTCTTCCGGTGCGGCATCGGCACCGGCTTCTTCAGGTGCATCATTAGGGCCGAGTTACACGGGTGCTATTACGGTTGCTTCTACGGGTGCGGAATCAACGCCGACGTCTGCATCGCCATCTGCATCGACGTCTGCGGCGACAGACCAGTCTGGCCAAACCGAAGGAGATGAATCAAGCAAGAAGGAGACGTCGCACACAGGGCGCAATGTCGGTGTTGGAGTGGGTGTTGGCGTTGGCGCAGCGGTTTTCTTGGGTCTGATCGCGGCTGTGTTGATCCGAAGGAGGCGAAATCGAAACAAAATTGACCTCGAAGACAAGCGACCGGAAAGCGTTGAGAAGCAGGATGATAAGAAGGACAATGGGAACGTATATGCAGTAGCTGAGATGCAGCATCAAGAACCTGTAAGTGGAGATGTCAATGTGGGATTTTGATATAGAACCCGAAACTGACTTTGATCTAGGTGTACGAGCTTCACGATGGAAGCAGAGCTGATGTAGAATTGGACGGCACAAACAAAGTAGTTGGGACAAGATACGCTTAGTTGGGGATGTATAATGATCGTTTTGCCGGTTGAGGACCATTACTTCCATCGTCCTTGAACGAATTCCAGAGCAGCATGCTGAACAGGCCTTCGTTCTTGATCTTGTTGTGTCTTTTTGACACCGCCACTTACTCCGTCTTCTCTTTCTCACACTGCTCGTCTTCCTTCACAGCCTTCAAGAATGCTACGGCTGCAGTACCACACATTCCAGTCACGGTTGAGCTTATGGCGATTGTCTGGACAACCACAAGCCCATACCCACCCATTCCGGCACTAGTAAGGATAGCGAAAGCGCTACCTGCAGCGATAGGTCCAACGCTAGCCTGGAATCCAGCGGCGAAAGAGCCTAGATTGAACATCAGAAATTCGTCGGGAGATAAGTGTAGGTGACTGATACGTACCACCAGCAATACCAAGAGGTGTAAAGCCCACAAGCCCGAGCATTGCAGGTGTGACGACGGCGATGATCGGACCCGAAGCGATACAAGCCATCAAGGTGGTGAACTGCTTGGGGTTTGAGAGTATCCATTCCTTGAGCCTCTCGCTGAACCCTGAGAGGTCTTCCTGGGTGAACTCAATCTCGGGTAAAGTGATCTGGCCAATATCTTTGAGAAGATCACCACTGGTCATCTTCTGCCAGAAATCATCTGCTGTGCTGCCTAATCGCTTTGCCATGTCTTCTCCAAAATCCTCGAGGAACTTCCAGTCGAAGTCTCTGTGCGGCTTCTCATCAATGAGTTGAGATAGACGTTGATTGGCGTTGTTGAAGGTAGATTGGACGAATGAAGTCGCATGCTTCGAGGCACTGTTGGCAATGGGAGCAGCGTGCTTGCTCACTTCTTTGCTGAGAGTTTCCAAAGTCTTCCTGGCGTCTGCGGCGACTGGAGCCGCTCGCTCTACTACCTCTTGACCTAGAACACTACCGTACTTCCATGTCTCGCCCGCAGCGAACCCAACATGTTCTGTCGCTTCTCGCCTGAACTTCTCGGCTACACTTCGCGCGTCATCGAGGAAACCCATCTTGAAGTTGAGGGTGCTGCTCAAACAGGGTCTCGCATTTGTGGTATCATGAAAGGTGACGTTAAGCGACAACAATCCATTGTTTGCACTAGTGCAGGACTGGTGAACGGTGAAGTGATGTTGTGTAACCACTGCAACATGCGGGGTCAAGGCGTAGATGCCATGATTTGCAAGACGATAGTCTCAGGGACTGGTATTGTCTGAGCAATCAGATAGAGGCGTGTGGAGACATTTTTGCACAAAATTAATGATTGGGCAGTAGAGGTACATTTCCATAACTCTCAAGTCGCATAGAAGAGTCGAGGTGCCGACGTGGACGGTACGCGGTGTTGTTGCTTGGATAGGCGATAAGATTAGGCGTGCGGAAATGAGCGACCCGGTTCCACGTTCTAGAAGCTTGGCACGGGCCAGTTCATAGACTTGGAACCTGGAGGCGAGCGGACCGGTATAGCGTCATAGGCAACGGCCTCTAGAGGGCGTTGGTGATATAGTGCAAACGCGTTGTTTTGACTTTTGGACGCTGCCTTGGTTGTCGTGTAGACTGTGTGGCGTGATTGGGAGAAGAAAGGTTTGGCCTGACGAGCTTGCGGCTGCAGCTAGGAGTGGTGCAGGTCGGCTGGCCCCATGCAGGTCGGCGCGATACGCTGGACGTCATTCCAGCTGATCGCCCTGACTGATGCGGGACAGGGACCAGCTGCAACCTCGTACCAACCATCGAGCCTCGCGCGCCTGTCATGCAGGGATATCTGCCATGTTTGACGTGCTTGTGTGCATGTGTGCAGCCGTGTGTCGCGCCCAGCCTGCTGAGCTTTGTTGATGTCCCTTTATCCCCTTATAATGTCCGTCGGCATGCCTCGCCTACCCTGCCTTGCTGCAGGCCGCCAGGATGCTGCGAAGACTGCACCACGACATGGTTGACGAGAATGCGGGAACGCTGCTGAGGAAGGGCAGCAAGAGACAGAGGGTCTTGAAGTTCTTCAGGTCCTGGAAGCAAAAGCAATCACAGCAACACGACCAAGTAGCTGCACCCGTACGTCCATCGCTCTTTCCCTCTCCTGCCGTCCTTGCCATTCCAGCCTGATCATGAGGAAGCTAATCACAAACTTGTTATCACAGATACCGCCCAAGCAAGACAAGCCGACCCCACAGTCCCCGCCCGAGCAAACACTCCATGTAGAAACTCAAGAGCAATCGAGCAGCCCAGTCGACCATGGCAGCACCATGTCTCCTGTCCAAGGGGCGGAGCAGGATCGCGTTCCAACACCGCCACAAGAAGCCATGGAAGACAAGGTCGAACCCCTCACTGAGGGCCAGCTCCGTACCCTCTTCGCCGGAGCCCCTCAGTTTGGCGTCACCAAGACAGACAGCCGCTACATACCAACAGTCTCCTACCCTTGGAACATTGACACTGCTCCAAAAGAAGTAACCGACACAGTGCCTCTAGTCGAGCCTGCCTTTTCAGCTGCGACCCTACACGAGCCTCCGTCCAAGACCCGGCCGCTACCAGACACTTCGAAACAGTACAATGGATATCGGGTAGATGTAGTGGAAATACCAAGCATGCTTAGTGCTCAGGGTGTCGAACCGGGCACTATTGGCTTCTCACATTTCCTCGAGATGCCCAAGTCTGACACTCTCGCCAATGAATTGGAACAATCCCAGTCAAGCAAGGACTCCTTCGAGTCAGTCAAGAACAAAGAGGCAATGCAAACATCTCCTGAGCGTCTGGGTATTCGTCCAGTCGAACTGAGCTTGATATACGACCGCTTGATAGAGTTCCAGGACATGTACGAAGCCTTCCAAGATAGTCCCGAGCCTATGACCATCCTGAACAACCAGAGCGCTGGAGACCTCTACGCGAATCTTTTCACCAAGTTTCTTACGCCGCCGGGTTATGATGACTCTACAGATGACCCCACTGGGTTGCAGACGCAGATCGTTGCCCTGCTCAGGGTCTTGGGGCTGAAGGGTGTCTGGTATGACTTCAGCCTTGTCGAGTGGAGGATAAGACTTGGACAATTATTGTGGAGTGAGCCTGAGCCAACATCCGAACACGAAACTCAGTGGACGGAGCGGGAGATTCTGTTGCTGCAAATCACCTTGGCATGTGAGCTCTTGCTCCGACTAGATGCCTTCACCAATGCCGATGCGGCCGACGCCCAGGTCCGGCTTCAGATTGACCCAAAGGACATGGAAGGATTTCTCAAAATCAAGACGAAAAAAGTTGATTGGGATTTGATTCTAGCGCGGAGGTTTCTCGACAACATTGTCATCATGAGGGGCAGTGATGCACCAGTTTCACCGAAACCCAAATTGCGCGGACTGCTGTCGCTGCTAGGTCAAGGTGCCCACGCAGAGATACCGCAGTCAGACCTTGTCGTACTTCCACAGCATCAATCCCAGCAACTTTCCGGGCTGCTTCACTTCGCAAAGACACTTCAGTGGCCCAACATTGACGCAGTCTCGACAGATCTGGCCCGGAAGCTTGGTGAGCAAGACAAGGCGGAAGACGCCACACCATCATCACCCAGTGGAAGATTGCCCGACTCGTCCACTCCATCTGGTATCAGCGTGTATGGCACGCCGTTGCAAACACCACTCGCCTCTGGTCATCAGCTAGACAGTTACTTTGGCCATGTTGGGAAACCTGCCCTGAACCGCAACAACTCTCGCGCATTGCGCATGCCGCTGTCCCCCATCTCTACAGTCCCCGAGAACTATGCCAATTCCAACTTTAACATTGGAGGATGGCTCAGTCGGTCATATCTAACTGGTCTTATCCTTCCCGGAGAAGCGATCTCACACTTCCTCGTATCGACACTGCTTGAGAATGACAGCACTGCTATTGCCAACCTTGGAGAATCGGCAAATCTGTACGGTGGGTTTACCTTTGGTGAGAGAACATTCTGGAGCAAAACTTCTGTCGTGGGGCGTATCCTAGCCTGTGTCAAAGGCTCCACAGAGTGCATGGGCTGGATCTCATGTCCAAAGGTACCCGACAGCCCCAGCGAGCGTTGGTACTCGATTCACAGCGAAGTCCTTCCGTACGAAAACCGCTTGCGAGTAAGAGATGGCTTGGACGTAGTGGCTCAAGAGTCAGCTACTGTGCCTGTCGATGCTCTAACTTCAACAAAATCGGAGGACTTTGTGCTCCCTCAAGATCTTGACTCGTCTCCGACTTCTTCCATCGCCTTCTTGCAGTGGGAACTGGTTCCAATCAATACGGACCTCATCGATGGTGACAGCTTGACAGGGCCACCAACTGACAGCGATATCCATGCTCCGTCGATGACTTTTGTGTCCGGCGTAGTGAGCCACACTCTCACTCTGGCATACGATGTCCAATTTATCACTTCTTTCCCATGTACCACTGCAGCATCTGCACCTCCGTCATTGACTCATCGCCCCAAGGCCATGAGACGTTCGGTCACCGGAAATATTTCGCGATCTTCTTCAAAACACAGCGTGACATTATCACGCCGCAACAGCCATGGCTTCGAGCCACTCCTATCACATCCTCCAGACGCTGCAGATATTACACCGAAGCGCATGTACGAGCCACCTACTGGACCAGAAGCCGAGACGCTCGCAACCAGCAGCAAGCCCATGAATGCGCATCCTCTGCATAAATCATATACCTACAAGATGGTGCCAGCCACTGATATCCTGGACCCTGACTTCCTGCTGCCATTCGAGCTTCACACGTCCAAGTCTACGGAGCGTTTGCTCGATCTTTCACGAAGCAACGACAGCGAAACAGAAGAGATGATTAAGAATAGTAAGAAATCCGTGCTCGTACTCGATGCTCGGACTTCATCAGATCTTCAGTTGCTCGCACGAGCCTGGTGCGCGGAGAAGGGCCTGCACGCGATCGTGAGCAACGTAGGACGCACTTGCTTGGGTTGCTCCATTCGAGAAGCGAGAGGCTTGGGTATCAACATCGTAATTCGGGTGTAGAGAAGCACCATGGTATGGTCAGATCTGTCAATGCTGGAAGATTTTGTCACCTTTCACAAATTGTTACATTTCCTCCCGCGTGGGGAGATGTGGTTTAGTTTTGCTACTGGCGAGTACTGCGGGCGCATATACAAGATACCCAAATCGTGAATGAATACTACTGTTAATTTACATCGAGCATTCTCCGTTACCAATCCCACACCTGTTTGAGGATCGCGCGAGACAGGAATAGCATATGCCCACACTTAAGGCCTATCACAAGGAGCCATGACGATCAAAGCGCAAACCCCGAGTTTTGATGCAATCATCGCGCGCAGAGGCTGTGTGGTTTTTCAGGCTGTTCATTCGATCGGCGCGCGCAGCCACGTGCCACTAGCCGATGTGGTGGCTGTGTGTCCGTGGGTGGCCTCACGCGAAGCGCGTTTGAACTTCGCGAGTCGAAAATTAAATATCGTGCATCCCACTCGTATCGCGGTGAACAAAGACTCTACGACGTGTCAAATTCATCTAGATCGGTCGCAATTCCGTTGCTTATCAGCATACATCATTGTTTCTCCCTTACAAGCTCATCTGTTCTTACATCATCCATCCTACAGGGGGTCTCGTTTAGCACCTACCACCGACTATCAAATTCACCCAAACCCTGAGCCAATCTCACCAATTCCATCCAAGATGAATTACGCCCCAGTCGAAGCCAATACGGAAGAGTTCACAACTGAGCATAATGAACCAAAAGACTGCTGTACACGATGCATTCAGCGGCTTGACTGCACATTAGCAGGACCTTGGTGCATCGAAGCCATCATTGCTTGTTTTGCCAGTATGGGAGATTGCTTGGGCGATTGTTGTAGTAGTTGTGGGAACTGTTGTGGAGACTGCTGTACCGAATGTACCAAGGTTTGTACCTAATGGGAGTTGTCAAAAAGGAGGGAGAAGAGCGGGGAGGGTCTTCACGGGTTCGCGATGTTTCTCATTAGACGAATATGACCCTGTTGAGATATCCTCTGGATTACGATGGTCACGAGTGGCTCGCCACCTGTCTTTGGGTCATCGTAGAACCAGAGGACGGCGACCGAAGTTCGGCGTTGCGCACACGAGAAAGAGAAGTGGAGTTGGAATAATAGTCGGACGGTGCCATGACGATACACGATAGAGCGGATGCGATTGCCTTGAGCATATGACAAAACGGCATGGAGCACTTGCCAACACGACTCCCAAGAATGCATAGCACGTGCATGCTGCCATGCTGATGGCCCCGATTCTTGTTTGTCTGTTATATTTCACACAACGACGTTCCACTCGACTCCCACCATATCACTATTACTGCGGCACCATCGCTACCATCTGCCAGTATCAAGTTTCATCTCTACGACTATCAGAGGTATTAGACCATGGCAGCAATCTAGGGCTCTGCTAACAAGACGCAGCGCATTCATTACACTTCAAAGTCGGCCTTAGCGTTCAGGAACGACCACTGTTACTGTTAAGCATTCGCTCGCGACGTTCGCTTTGTAGCCACTGCAGTCGGAGGCGCACTTGCCCATTCACGAAGAGATACACTGTTCCATAAACCATACGTCCATCCGCCCACCCATCATGCCTAGAGTATCACGACGCATGAAATATAAACGTATATACTGTTGCTACACAAGAATAGATCGCAGAATCTGTCCCCTCTGTGGAGACGAAGTGACTAAATGGAGCTTTCAAGGTAAAATCGAACATTGCTTTCGCTGTCGTAAGGCTCTTGTGTGGGACTCTGCAAAAAAGGTCCAGTTGTCAAGGGTCCGAGGTCGGCCAACTTTGAAGTTCTGCGGTCGTGGTTCACCAGCTATGAGCACGGTAGAAGAATGCAATGAATCAGGAGAGGGCCATTCCAGGCGGAGTTCGTGGAGCAGTCCCATAGACGACGGTCTATGCACCCCGGACAACGATTCACTGCGCTCCTGGATCACGGTGACATCCCAAGATATGGGCTCTTCTATCAACGGCGATAGTGACGGTCATGCGGTGATCGCATGCGAGAGCATAGGATCAGATACCAAAGACGACACGGTACCAGCTCGAATGACGAGCTCGACTCTGTCGAAAGACGAACAATTGACAATGAACACCTCGGACACGATCAACGAGAATGACACAGTTTCTCTGCTTCCAGCAACTGCTGTACCCGAACCGATCGCCGACGCTCCACATCCGACATCTCCTCGTCCCATATCTCCTCCTCGTATAACGTCCCCAAGTCCCACATCTCCTCGCGCGTCATCTCCAAGTTCATCATCTCCACGCCCATCGCCTCTACGTCTGATACCTAAGAAGAAGACATGTAGATTTAGAAAACGATTCAGACGCAAACGACGCGAGCCCATGGAGCCGAGCCCGTCTCTGGAAGACCTCATCAGCATTCCAGAGGTTGTGCCCCAACCTCGCGCTGCAGAGCTTCTCAATACCCTTGTTCTCGCTAGATCTATTCACGGACGAGGAGTTGCTACAGAACCTGTCACGGCGTCTTCCGCGCTAGAATCCCGAGAATCTGATGACATTCTCCAGCAACACGCCGCTGACCTCGACGATGCTCTTGCACAACTCGAATCGCTCGAAGTTGACGGTCGTGACGAGGAGGGGTCTGCATCCAGTAAGCGGTCATCCTTTTGGTCCCGAATCTTTTGTTTTCTGTAGTGCAGAGGGCTTCGGATATTATCGAGGAGGCATAGACGATGGAAAAACTATGAGGTATTGGCTTAGGATTGGCGCGCATGTGCATCCGTGCGGATGGAATTGGAAGGCAGATCGATGTAGGAAATGCAAATCAATTCATGGGTGAAGATGGGCATTAAACCTTTGAAAGCCTAGTGTCCGAGGAACTGCTTCGTCTGGTAGCATAGTGCAGATAGGACCCTCCCTGCATATTCAATGATGAAAGCGTAATATATCTCTTCATGATGTCTCCAAGAACCTTGATGACTAGAGTGCATCATAATCTACGCTGCGTGTACCAGATTTCTGTGTCGTTAGGTCGGTACTTGTGGCGAGGAGGTGGGACAGCACATGAAGTCAGGTGGGGATTCGCGTACACAAAGTCTGTGGGATCTAAAGAACTTGGTTGCTCAACTTCTTTGCTGGTTGAAGCGAAGAAGTACCATTCACTATATCGCGCCGGTATATATGCTTTGACACAATTCCATGATAGATGTACATCCAGCTCTTGCCGTACTCGAAGCAGCCCACGCTCAACAATCAGCGTTCCGGCTGCAAGCCCACCTTTCACCTCCACCTCGTTATCTTTTCTTGTCCCAAATTTACTTCAGAGCCTTCTCGGCCTTCTGTTCAGCCTTCTCAGCAGTGTGCTTGAGATCCTTCATCTCGCCCTTGGCTTGACTCTCAGTGCCTTCGATGGACTTGTTGTAGGCGTAGATACGGCCGACCTGTGTAGCACCAACGCAGAAGACAAGGAAGTTGACAGCAGCCAAGGCAACGTTCTTGGGGCGGATAACGAAGCACCATCGTGTCCAGATGGCACCTGTGCACATGAGAGCGAAGTTCTGGGTGAAGGAGAGAGATTCAGCGGGGCGGGAGAAGTCGGAGGCACCGGCGAGGACCATGCCCCATTTCATTACTGGGGCCCTATGATAGTGTTAGCAACTTCATAGCTCAACAATGGCCGTTTTGGACTCGTGTGTTTGCTGCTGCGGATGCGCTCCGGACAAAGCGGGGAGCTGCAGCGCATCGCATAGGAAGACAGAGGTCATGTCGAGGAAGCGTACCAGAAGTGGACAGTCTTGGGTCCGATAGGGCTGTTCCAGAACTTTTGGAAGCCAGCGGGCTCAGCGCCTGCAGCTGTGCCGGCATGTCGGCGGGCATTTGCGCGTTGAAAGAAGGGTCGGAAAGAGCTGAAGATGCGGGAGCCCGGGCGGAACGACATGATCGCGGTCTTTGTCCTTTACTCTCCAAGTTGGCGATCCGAGCAGAAGGGGAATTGAGGCGTCCGGAGTGCAGCTGAGTCCGGGACGATGGTCGTGTGCGTGCGGTCGCGATGTCGGGCTCAAGCCTTGGTGAATGATAAATCCGGAACTACGATGGGGTTGCTCCGGTTAGCCAGGCCCAAAGGGGTAAGGCGTGTTCCTGGCAGCTTCCGACGAACATTGAATGTCGCTGCAGCGCGGGTGACGACAGACACCGATTGATACCCCCACACCACATTAACGGTCCTTGCAATGGCATCAAAAGCATTTGGAAATGGCCTCAAGGAGCTGAGGTTCTTGTTCTGCCAGACTAGCGAGCACAGCGCCGCCACAAGGTATGCGACACCCAAGTGAGGAGCGCAACACGATGCGCAGAGCAACGCAGAAGAGCAGAACAAGGAGGACCGAACGAGCTGGGCTGATGGAACATACAGGAACTTCCTTACACGAAGCTACCCCGCCATGAAGAAGGCCAACCCCTCCGTTCCTATCATGATCCGCGAAGCCAGCGGCACCCAGCCCACCGTATATGCGCGATTCGGTGCGTCACACCTAAGGAAAGACACAGGAGAAACATTGCTAATAATCTGGAACAGACTTTGGAAAGGAGAGGAAGCTGTCGCTAAAGGGTCTGGACGACAAGAGCATCGAACAACAAGTCGCGGACCTTGTACAAAAGGGCGCATGAGTATATAAGCAGAAAGAGAATAAGTGAACAAGACAAGAGCCGCAGGTGAAGAAGCAAGGGCATACATCCAGCTCGAGAGAGCGTAGCACAGTAGCTTCGGTATAGCCCAAACTGAACATCCTCGAAGATATCCCCTTTCACCTGAAGTGACATTTCACCATTCACCGATCTCGTCCCATCTTCATACCTATCATATAAGCGTCTCAACCTCCTGTTCTATTGCTGTTTCTCCGTCCTCGCAATACCTCATATACCTTCTACGACAGCTGAACCTCTGCCTCAAACGTGCACAAATAACAACTCTAAAGACTACACATCTAACAATGTCTTACTCAGCCCCATTCCAGCCAAACCCCGACTACGATGTCGATGCCGCGCTCCTGGACATCCTCGTTCATACCCACGTAAGTACCTCCAAGCACCTCTGTCGTTTCCGGATCAGCACTGACATACTATCTTGTATAGCACCCCGCTGTCTCGTCTGGCCCAGCAGCAGATGTGCTCGCGCGCATCGAGAAGCAGTACCAGGACTGCGTCAGGGTCCTGGAGGAGCGCAATGCCGTCCTGGCGAAAGAGGGAGAGGCTGCGGCCGCCAAGATCGAGCGCCTGGAGACGGAAGTCTGCGCGTTGGAGGGGGATGTGGAGACGCAGCTGGCGGTCCTTCAGGATAGGGCGGAGTGCGTCTTCGTTCAGACGTATATCGTGCCAGACAAGGTTGTGGTTCTTCGCGTTGGGGAGGAGAAGTGGAGTGGAATCTTCAAGGAGGCTTGAAGAGGTTTTGGGTCGTGTCGTGTAGTTGTCTTCTGCTGCCCTCTTTCCTCTTTCTTGTCTGTCTTTGGTCCGTTGATAGACTTTCCTCTTCGGCAACGGCCTTTGGGCCTAGAATCACATCATGTTCTCTGCCGCACTTGAACATCTTCTTGGTTCTAGTGCATGACAATGTCTTATGTTACTGAGCTGGTGGACGGACAATGCTCCACACTGTTACTACACACATCTTAGGCATGATACTTATAAAACTTATCCTATTGAGCGACGTATACGTCCCATAAAGCTAGAATTAGGCGCTTGATTCAGAGTTTACTGTATTCTTCGAATTACCTCGTATGCCGGTGCTTGACAATCAGTAGCCCAACGTCGCGTACCGCAATTACCATAAAACCTAGCAGCATGTCTACTGAATTCACCCCAAAGCCTCAGCAGCTGAGTTTCTTCGACAAGATGCTTCGTCGCAACGACTCCGCAGTGGCTTTGTCATCGGCATCGACTACCTCTTCTATCACTCCCTCATTCGCGTCTCTCTCACAGGAGAACGATCAACTAGCTCAGGACAATGCTCATCTACAAAGGCGTAATGGAGAGCTGACTGAACAGTCTGAGCTCAACCAGAACCTCTTTCAGCAAACCTCCGAAACGCTCGCAGCCAAGGAAAGCGAGATCACCGACTTGGAGGAAGCACTCGTTGATAGGGATAGCGAGATCACTGATCTAAAGGGGGTTCAGAAGGAGCTCAAGGAGTGTATTCGCCGCAACGACGAAGCTAGCAATGAAAGAATCCAGACTCTGGAGCTTCAGCTTAGGGATCTGTCGAAGCAACTTGAAGAAGCACATGAAGCGGCTGCTAAACGTAAAGCCACGTGGACAAAGTTGAAGAACCAGCAGAAGGAATATCCCACGATGGTTGAGAACGAGCAGCAACAGGGCCAGCAAGGACCCACCGATTTTGTTCTCATACACTGGACTAAGCTTCACGCAAAGGATAAAACAATCGAGTTCTTGCGCTGCCGTCAGTCCAAGTCTGACAAGCGCATCGCCAGACTCAAGGAGCGGTTGGCCGCTGCGGATGAATTGGGTCGAAACTGGGTGCAGACAATCACGCTTGCTAATTCCAAGGTCAAGGCGATTGAGACAAAGCCTCAAGTTAGTATTGAGCATTAGAGACAGACAACGCAAGATGACGGCGTAGTAGGAGAAAACAATCGCGCATTAGATTACATCCTAGCAATCACTATGATATATCTCAGAAGATTTATTCGTCTGCCTTCTTCAGATAATAAGACCATTATAAGTGCTCGTCCAACTTCAGTTCTATTCCACTATTCCAGGCTGCAATATCTGTAGTACACTCACAGTCACACCCTCGACAATAGTCTGGTACAGTTCGCAATGCAAGCTCTATGAGATCAGTATTCAAGGTGAAACGTGAGGCGAAGACGTCACCAATGTGTCGATCACATCAGGTGAGAAGGCGTGTATCGTGGTTGAGATTGTCTTTCTCCGGCGCAATACGCCACCAATAGTGCCCCTGGATCAAACACGTCTGTGCATCCGTTGAGTCTTTCGACGATGACAGTAGCGTGGTGGACGTGGTTGATGCTTGTTGAGTACTGGTGTTCCGTGGTACATACAGTGGGCTGTCAGGCGCCTGTCTTTGATGTATCATGGTCCATGTCTGGCCTGAGAAAATCTAGGAAAGAATGTACCTGCATATCTGATGAATTCAATTATGCAGATTCCCGTGAATTACGTACTAAGTCGAATCGTTACTGAGATAGTGTACGAGTTCTTTGAGCTCTGCAGGGTGTCCTGCGCAAAGGAAGAGTTAGGACAGAAGGCGGGTACCTGCTGGAGATTTGTCTTTTTGAGTCGTCACGAAAAGCTGAGGAATGACGCGTAAGCCTGACTTGACAGTGTGACTGAGGGATTTAGTTTGGCTCGTTTGGAATGCCCAGAACCACATTTAGCGTACAGTTGTTTATATTCATACACGATCGTGGCTGAATGATCTGGCGCTTCCAAGACTGTTTCTTTTTACGATAACGCGATGCGGTATCTGCAGTCCGGCCTTCTGTCGCACCTGCAGCCTGGCGCTTGGTGCTCGGGGCATCTGAGCGAGAATACCGGGACTTGTCAAACGTCCGATTGTGCGAGGCGTCCCTAGTATGCATTGCTACTACTGTAATATGTCACAGGACTCGGCCCTTGCTGCGTATGTACGTTCAATATGATCCCGGGAGCATAACAGCTCTGTTGCTCATGCAGATTCATGTTGCACGTCGGATATCTGCAGCTTGCTAGCCTATGTTGGGTAAGAGGCTGACCTGAATGACGACTATGTGGTGTGCAACGCTTGACAGGCATCTTGTGATGAATGTGATAGGTCGAATCTGGCTGCCTATGATATGTCTCCACACTTTATGATCGACCCTTGGAGCACGGATCATGCGTTCCGTAGCGTTGTGACGCCGTGTCACGGTTGGCTGTTCTTGACAGCGAGTACTGCAGTCAGTGGTTGCGTTCTGACAGCCTGCGCCTGTTTGGCGCCGCCACTGTAGTATATAAGAGCGTGTGTTCATTCCGGATCGTCTACAAAGACGTAACCCATCTCGAGATGGGAATGTAGCGTATATCGCGCCGGCACGTTAACACTGGGGGCCCATGTGGCACATGTGTACTTGAATGATCGCGTCATACCGGTCAGCCGAATAAGGAAATTCTGAAATGAAGAGCGGTCCTTGAGTTTTCGGGATGGACAAAAGCTTTCATTGTGGCCAATCAAATTGGATGGCATAGTATTCGTGCGAACGGGGACCGATTAAAATAAGGTCGATATGGTTGCAGCAATATGCTGAGACGAGCCGGTAAGCTCCAACATTACAATCGGCCTCAAGGCAGAATACCCTGAACCGCGCTTTCTTGGGCGATTTTTCAATAAGCTCCTCCTAGCCTTGGAAAATGCTGAACGAAACTTCCTTGTATCGTGATGCAAACTCCCCAAGGGGCAAAGCGAAATGAATGCAACTCCAAAATGCGGACGCGTGTGCTCAAGCCAGCAGTTGTGAAACGCTGTGAAACACGGGCGTGAATCATGATACAGTCGTACCAAAAATTACTGACTCGTTGACCTGAAAGAAAGGTCGCTCCCTGTGATACTGCGTGAAGAGACAGTGGACGTGGCAGTGAGTAAGCACGAGCCTGCCTGATGTTCATCCGAGCAGGATCTCCCACTGCCATTCTTTCATGACACTCAGCCAATGCAGGCGATCCTTGACCGTAACAATCCCGTCTAGGTTCTCCGTATCATTAGGCAACGCCGATTTCCAGTCCGATGTCTCTTGGCAACAGAAGTCGCCGTTCCCGTCGAAGTCACTAGAAAAGACGCCGTCCTCGTGTTCCAAAGCAACATCCGGCGAGAAACTATGGCTGCGCATATCATTTAGGTGTAACACACGCTCTGATGCGTGGGCGTCTCGTCGGCTCCAGACCTCTTTTGTGACTTCCAAGCATCGTTCTATAATTCCAAGTTTCATTCTTGAGGACATCAGGCGCCAGCGCTCTGTGACCCATTCGCGCTCGTCCGGCTCAACTACCTCGCAGCCAGCGGACATCAGTGGGTAAATATGAACGATGATTGAACGGGAGCGCGGGTGCACGGTGGCCAGATCGCAAAGCACTCTCTTTGCGAGCACACTAGGCGACTCCGATGGAATTTCCGGTACAGCTTGATGGAGGTAAAGTAGTGTGGCATTTCGGTAAGCTAGTGCAGTTTTGATCGTGTCATGTGGGCTTGTCGTCTCGTCTTCCGGATCTTCGATGAAAGAAGGGGGAGTCCATTCTTCGAGCTGAGATTTCAACTGTACTGCTTGTGATATAATAGTAGGCCCATTGCTGTCAGACTTCCGTACTTTTCTGACCAGGTTTGCTACCCGGCCAATAATCGGGAAAAGTGTATGCGCACAGCCCATCAAAGGGTCAAGCGTAGTTTCTGTCTCGCCAGTAGCATATATACTTTCCTGTATAGTGTCTACATCGTATGCATCGTCGTCATCAGCGGACGTTAAGCGGGCAATGACGTCCATGTAAATCCAGGTGTTGCACAGGAACTTCAGCCGCGTCCATTCCTCGCCATGTTTTGGCTTATGGCGATGTTGCACGAGGGCTTGGTTGATCAAAATCTTGGCCCCCTTGATGTGGTTTATGCCTGTGCTGATATGTTGATCCCATGATTCGGCAAAAGCCAGTACTAGTGTGGTAGAGATAGCTGCATCAACACGCATATTTTGGAGGCCAGCAGCTAGTGCATGTACAGCGTTTCGCATATGATCGATGCCTTGAATACGCAAGATGGGCATATCTTTCGACTGGTGAAAGGAGGTCATGGATGCGATCGCATGGTAGAGTGCTGGGCAGTTTCGTGTGAGAGGCCAGATAAGAGTTCGCCATGGGTTTTCCGTGGGTCCATCTTTCACTGAGAGTACACCACAAGTATCTCTGTCGTAACGTCGTGTAATTGATTCCGCCGATGTGAGAGACAATTGTACCTGGGCAGGTATCTTGAAATCGGGAGAATTCGAAGAAGATCCTGAAGAGCTCGATGGTGAGGGAGATGGTAATCGTGTGACAAAATTTGCAAGGTATCCATTACTGTCGCGCACTAATTCTTCAATCCCGTCTTCCTCCATTGAAGCTGGGGGTGTTAGGCCTGTGGGCTGGTAAAAGGCCTCATGTTGAGACACGAAAGAGGAATACTCCTCTGGTGGTTCGTTAAGATCAGTTCCTGGTTCGAGAAGGTCTAGAAGTCCAGGTGATTGGCCAGGAGATGCACTTGACTCGGTGTTGGCCTTTGTTTGCACAGTGGTCGTGCTCTCAGCCCCCAAGACGCTTTGTGACCCGAATGATCCCGGCGCATATGAACCTGCAGGCGATATGGACATAGGAGGGACGATAAAGGGTGAGGCTGCTGAGACGGCGAAGAGGTTCTCAGTGGGTACAAATGAGGGCTGTGAGAAGGATGTCTGTATAGGTGGGCCATGCACGAAGGGGTACGGATGTTGACGTGGCGGGTAGTACGCGTTGTGCGGTGTGCCAGTGAAGGCATATTGGTGGTCTTGGAAGTTGGAGTGGCCTTGAAATTGCGAGGGCATAGACGTCGTCGGTACTTGGGGACCTGAGCCTGGACTTGTTAGATGTGTTTTCAAATCGTGGCCGACGAACTGACCTTGGCGCGACTTGAGAGGTGCTTTGTTTGAGCTGCTTGGCTCCTCAAACGGTCTCCATTTGAAGTCTTTCTTGTAGCCACCGCAGGTCACTGCGCGCCTGGCACACTGCTCGCATGTTGGTTTCTTCTCGTCACACTTCAGGCGCTTTGCTTTGCAGGTAACGCATCCTGTACAGACACGTTAGTACAATGCTTAGCGGAAGTGCCTCAAGTCATGGGTATCGTGTAGACGGCAAGAGTCGACAGAGCGCGAGCATACCATTACGGCTCTTGGACTGCTTCCTCTTAGTAACGCCAGCAGTATCGGAAGCCTTCTTGGGTGCTGGACACGAAGCAGACGCCGTCTTTCTAGTGGGTTTAATGTCGATCGGAGCGGATTCTGGGGGATTTAGCACGAACGAGGGCGACGGAACAGCGATAGCCTCAGCCATCTGCCGCGACTGGTGCGAGTGTTGGTTCCCTGGGCGAGCTCGCTGGCAACTGGTGATCTCATATGCAAGAAGAAGGTGGCCTGTTAAGCAAAAATGACTAGAATCATCGGGGGTTTTGCGGATAAGCAAGAGAGAGACACTATCTAAAGTGGAGAAGAAGCTGGGGAGATGCGCGGCTACTCGCTAGCGCCGTACTTATCGGGTTCGCGAATCACCTGGGCACGCGTGGGGTACGGCCGCAGCATCATCCTTCATCCTGCGCAGTCGGGTAATCCTCCACAAGAACCCTTGTGACCGGTAGTGTGCAGCGGTAGTTACTCGAGTCCAGGAACCTGTGCGACGGCAGACTTCTGGAATTAGCCGTTGCTTTGGGTTCACCGGGTCGTGATGCAGGCGTCATCGGCGCCATCCTGTGTTCGGAACCCGTGCAGCTACGCCTGTCACCCGGCCGTGAACCGCTCCACCAACGGCTCAGCCTTGTCTCGGGAGCGACGCGAAGCCGTCGAAGATCCCGCGGAGCACCATCTTAGGAATGCGCTCGTTGCGGCTCGCATACAAGTTCACGTTTCTAGTACTGGATTGAGTCTGCCGGAAGCTGATCCCTTTAGCTTGTGCTAGGTACGGAAGATGCAAGACACTACACTAGTAAACTTTCTCCGTAGCTCTGCCCTATGCCTCGCCAGTCGTAAGCATGCCGTGTTACTCTGACGCGATATGTAGTGCCCCAATGCCTTCACACCCTCCTCAATCTACTCGACCACACTGTCAGACTCTACTGAGCTGGTGGTGACGGTTCCGCCTCCTCTTTGTCTTCGATTTTGTACGTGACATCATCGATCGTGACCTCCTTCTTGCCTTCCTGTATAGCTTTGATCAATCCAGGAGTCGTGGCAGCAACAGCAATGCCGGTGGCCGTGCCTCCAGCGACGCCACTGACGAGTGTAGCACCAGCACCTCCTGCTGCCGCGCTTTGCAGAACCGCAAAAGTACTTCCAGCTGCGACACTACCAATCCCCGATTGCGCTGCTGCAGCGGCTGATCCAGCTGCAACCCCCGTAGCCGTGAAGCCCACCATATTCAAAACAGCATACGCGGCTCCGATACCGATGGGAGCAGCCACAACACACGCGACGATGCCAGCGGTCTCTCCTGGATGCTTTTCGACCCATTGCTTAGTCCTTGCTGCCGCGAGGCTGGTATGTTTCCCAGCCTCTTGACCAAACGCATCCATATGCTTCCATGACTCCTCCAGAGCGGGACCGATCTTTTTACCTGCGTCTTGACCGAAGGCATCGAGATGCTTGAACGTTTGGTGTGCGGCGCCGCCGACCTGCTTTCCAGCCTCTTGACCGAACGCATCCATGTGCTTCCAAGCTTCCCCAAGAGCAGGTCCGATTTTTCTACCTGCATCTTGTCCGAAAGCGTCGAGATGCTTGAATGTCTGGTGTGCGGCGCCGCCAACGCGTTTGCCGGCCTCTTGTCCAAAGCCGTCCAGAGCCTTCCAAGCGTTGTGGAAGAAAGACATGATTGACTGTTCGATTCACACTTGGAGAGTATCCGTGTAGTAAGTGACAAGAATGCAAAGACAACGTTCGAGCAGCTGCAAAACGAGTGTGTGAAGCGAGTTGTTTGTTATAAGCATCAGGGCTCTACCAGAAGCAGCACAGTCTCCGAAACTCGAAGGACATAGAAATCTCCTTTGTAACGCGGGGGAAAGTGAAGGTGAAAGTGGAGGGAAGCGCTGGGATCAGGACAGCGCTTGCATACATTTACGCGATTGGATGAGATAGCGCAACGATATGCAAGCTGTATCAATGTGCATGGATTCTTCTGTTAACTACAGCTTGTAGAATAAAGACAGGATTACATTACCAAAGGCTATTCCATATGTCAAACAAATGCCAGATATCATACAAGCGCTGGAACGATGAGAGAATTCAAAACATTAGGTATCGTAAAAGAGAAACAGCCAAGGAAAGAATAGGGTATCTCCCAGTGCACAAGTACACGGCTTCAGTAGTAGCTCAACCCCGAAGCCCTAACCTTCTTCTTCCCCTTCTTTTTTGTCTTCGTGGGCGTAGGGCTGACGACGTTACTGCGTCCACCTAACCGCTCCTTCCTTTTCTCTTCGCTGGTGCCTGCCATTTTGCTGACACCGCCCGTCATGAAGTCTCCATATGCACTCTCAGCATACAGGGCAGGAGTCGTGGTTCCACTAGGCAACCACTCACTGCCCTCTTCCCATGCGATACCTGCAGCATTCGCGGCGCGCACTCCTTCAATGTAAGCCTCCATTCTGCTGCGCTCATCGTCATCCTCAAGGCCACAACCGCACCCGCAACCAACTACGCATTCGCCGTCGTCCATACCGATCTCATCGTCCATGCAGTCCATATGCGCGACGTGTCCACATGAAGGGCAGAGGTGGAAGAGACCTGAAACTCGGATCCAGCAGATGCTGCAGCTGTACACAGGTTCTGATTTAGTATATTTTGCAGATGCAGTGGTGAGGTTCGTGCGCGAGCGGCCATCACGTCCATCCCGCCATGATGAACCGGCGGAGACGTTTGATGTGCCTCGCGACAGGCTCGGCCTGCTCGCTCGACTGGAAGGTGGCTGCAATCTACTTTGACCAGGTGATGTGCCAAGACCGGCAACACTCTCATCTAACTCCCTTGTCGGAGTTGGAACAGGTATCGAGAGACGAAGATACTGCTCGGCAGGAATAAATGCATCAGGATTCGGTACAAACTCTTCCGGTAGGCCGTTGGCAAATGTTCCAGGTTGAAATTCCATTGCTTCTGGGTTGAAAGAGAAGTGGCGTGGTGATGGACCAGATGAGCGCTTCATTTGCGTCGTGGTGGGAGTTGGAGGCACCAGCGTAGATGAGGCTTGCGACAAGTGCTTCATCGCTTTCTCGTCACCGTCTTCATCTGCGGACTGCTTGAGGGCGAGAGACACCGAGCCATGTTTTTGGACGGCACGAGGGGTTTCAGTTGGGAAGTACGATACGAGGCCGTTGAATTTCAATACTTCGGCGCGTACACTGACCAGGCCCCAACGACTGAGCATCTCAGCATACTGTTCGCGCCATGCCCGATGCAGCCAGTCTTTGCTTGCGTCTAATAGCGGACGACTGAAGCATGCTTCATCGTCGAACTGGTCTTGATTCTTGAGCGTGACTTTGATAGATCCTTTGGTACTTGTGCCGTCTCGAGGCGGGCCAGGCACGGTATTCTCTCTTGTACCCGTTGTGATGTAAGCCCCATCGTCATCGACTCTCTCATATTCAGAATCGGAATCGTCGATGTAGTTGACGTTGACTTGTTCAGATTGTCCGAAACTAGCTCGCTTGCCGTGTTTTGAACGTGAGCTTGACATGTTGCTCTGGTCGTGGGAGTCACTACCATAGAACGTGGTTGTTCCCCAGGTGACAGCACTGGTGGGTGCTGACGTGGAAAGATCATCCATGCGTGATCTCACTGGCGGTGACGAGGAGATTGCGTTTGCAAAGGGACGCGACAATGCAGCAACGGCACTTGCGAAATTTGCTGTTGAACTTTTCTTGTGGGCTATATGGCTCTGCTCGGGCGACGTTCCGTATGGTGTGTGATTAGTCGTGTGCGCAGTTCTCGTCGTGGACGCCCTGGACAAGACAGGTGGGGTGTTACCGGTAGAGTATGGCGTGACGGGATCAGAGCTGACATGATCGCTGCCCCATGGACCATTGGAACTTCCATGACTTCCATATGTGTCGAGATTCTTTGCCAATCTTTGCCATGCAAACTCGTTGGCTGGTGTCGCAAAGCGTGAATGTGACGGTGTAGACGGCACAGAAATCGAAGGCTTGAATAAACTCCACGCAGCGTCCACAGAGGAGAAGTAGTCTAGGGAGAAGGCTGGTGCTTCCATGGACATAGGAAGCTGAGACTGCCGCAATTTAGCCATCGCTGAGGTCACACCTTCACGAGCAGCAGGTTCCGCGAAGATGCATGACAGCATAGCAAGCATCTGTGTGTCTGCTAGACGTTCGAAATGGTCAAAGAGCGAAGGTATCAGCCATGTAACAACAATGTGGTGGCCCCATTTTACACGTGCCCTAAGCCTAGGGTTTTTCACTGTGTCTGCCTCGTCGAACTGAAGATCTAGTCCACTGTCCTTGCGTTTGATCCTCACAAGAGCTCTCCGGGCAAGCACAAGGACTTGATCTCTCCGGTACTTCTGAGGTAAGATCTCCAATGGCACTTCGTTACTCAAAATCAGTTTGCAAAGGATCCAAATATCAGCTAGGTCATCGTAACCGTACTTTCGAGCGACCTCAGAGTTGTGCTCGCATATGAGTGGTCCAGGTCCAAATATTCGGTATTCCTCTGCCAACTCACGCTTACTGGGAACTAGATCCTCTGTAGCCGAAAATAGTATGGACACTGTGGATCTAGCCTTGACTGCCTGCTTTCCTACGCCGGTCGAAGATGGTAATGAGTTCCGCGACTGGAATCGGGACGCAGACTTCTGCCAAGCCAGTGGCGGTTGAAAATTTCCTATGTGCGCATTCCCTGCATGATCGGTACCGGATGACGATGATGGGGTGGAAGATGTTTCCCACGACCCGACAGATGAGGATGGCGATGATCCGCCGTCGGAAGCCTCGGGACGTCGAGAAGTAAAACGGCCGAACGAGTCAAAGATGTCATTCTTCAGTACACCTTGTCGAAGACTCCTGGTGATTTGGAACCTGAATGTTTCTGAGCCAGGCATTGACTTTGTGGTCGGTATCTTTGCGACTACAAGGGATCCATCTACCGAAAATCGCGCCGTACACTGTATTGGCAGAGGGATATTAGCATTGGTATGAGATGATTGCATCACATCATCAGTGAACTCGCCCTCGTGATCCTCATCCTCGCTGGAGCTCTCTCCGGGTAGTGGTCCAAGGTCTCCCAATGGGTCATCATCTTCGGCCAGGTCCAGGCTATCGTCTAGTGCTCGTTCACCCAACGCATACGAGAGTACTGCCTCCAGCGCCTCTCGCTGTTGATCTGCGCAGGTTTCAGCAATGCGATGCATGTTGTTGATCAGTTCCTCTTGGTTGTCCTTGCTGATCGCGGCTGTCGTTCTCTCGGATTCGATGTCCAGTGGGGTCGGTGCCCTACCAACAATGGTACCTGATTGTTGCTTTTCGATGGCCTTGGGGTATGAGACCGGGAATTTGATGGTGAATCGAAGGAATACAAGCTTAGGCTCATTTGTGGCGGTATCCCAATCACCCCAGGGTCCGTTGAAAGAAACTTTGATGCGGCGTCCCGGAACATCGATTTCTTCAAAAGCCAGCTTCTTGTATTTGTTGCCTACATAAGAAATCTCGGCACCAAGGTCGTTCTGCTCTTGGAATGGCTGCTTCTCGGTGCGATCATAATGATTGGGCCGAGCTTGATCGTCGACATTGTTGTGGCGATCACCTCCAAATTTGACGCCGTTGATCCATTTCATGTGGTTAACGACGCGCGGATCATTGCGCCGAATCGGCCGAGCAGTCATAGTCTCTCGGGGAACTGTCTCAGGATGTATCTGAGGAAGCGTTTGGCCATGGAAGCGCGGGGTGTAAGTCTCTTCGTTGAGCGAGTAGTTCTGTAAAAGAGTTGACAGGTTGCCTTTGCGCTGAGCACGAGGGGGGCCAAATTCATCCTGAGTGGTCGCAGTAGTGGTAGGTATAGGCCCATCCCGATAGGAAACGTACGTAGCACCTTTCCGTGTCGTACTGGGCTTGTCCACGAGTGGATCACCTTTGCGGTGGCCGACCCATTTCTCTAGATCCTCAGAAGGTAGCTTGTGAAGTACGAGACGTCTGTCAGTACCCCAAGAAACTAGCTGAAAATCGCGGTTATCGAATCCGTCATCGGTGGAGCCACGTGTACGCCAGAGGAATTCGCGAACTTGGGCATCAGGTTCGTGCTGCTGGAAGACATTTGCGTGACTATTGGTGAAAGTCGAGGGGTCGCTATCATTAATGTGCTTGTATAACCAGAGACAGGAATTGCCGCGTTGGGGCATGGCAAGGATACCGTGCGGAAACGGCGTGTGTCGCGCTCGCCATACAGGGTAATGAGTGCGGATGACGCGGCGAGGGACAGTGATGTTGTCTTTTAAGCCTACATTGTTCCAAAACTTGATAGTTGCGTCGAGGGAACAGGTCATAATTTTGTTTGCGTCATTGCGATTCCAATCGATGCCGTAGATCTTCGTGGTGTGAGCGGTGATGGTAGAAAGAGGGTTCGCTCCGTGACGAGTATCCCAGATATGAAGGTATTTGTCGTGAGCACTTGCAATGATCTTGTCGTTCTGGCGGTTCCATTTGACTTGGGTAGCTCCTGCTGTGTAGTCGGCAAGCTTCAATGGCGCTTGCCTGCTGCGAAGATCATGTACGAAGACGAAGCTGTCCACGCCACAAGTTGCCAGGAGGTCAGGATGGTGTGCGGAGAAGTTGATATCTGTTATAGCCCTATCATGTGCGCGTAATGTGTATTC